AGCAGCCGGGGTTGCGGCGGTGCCGGCTTCTCCTGAACGTTTCCCGCTTGTTCAGCGGAACGCCGGTGGAGACGGAGCTTTGGGCAAATTCGCTTGCACTGGTTTGGCTAAACTAAAGCAGAAAGCCCCAAGGGGCTGGGGGGTGCCCTGGGTGCTCATTTCCCCCTCCCCCCCCCCCTCCCAAAAGGCAGCGAGGGAGAACGAAACCCTGGTCCTGCCCACGACCGGCGGAGGCAGGGGAGGGACTTGGCTGATGCTGCCCATTTCGGTCGGAGCGGTCGCTGCCCTTTGCGCAGCGGCGTCCGCAGATGACAGAGGAAATGCTGTTTCCTTGGATTTTACTTAAAAGTTCTCTGCCAGATGGGATTGCATTTGCTTTTTCCACGAATCATTATTTTTTTTCCCCCCTTCTGTGTGTTCAACTTCGGTCTTTCAATCAAACCCCAGCGTTTCCCCGATAGAGCGTTTTTCTTTCCAAATGAGCCTTTTTCATTATTTATTTATTTTGTTTAATCAACAGCATCTTCCTCATCTGTGTCCTTTTCCTGCCGGTGGGGGTCTGTTCTCCGTCTGGGATTCCCAGTGGGCTTCCACACGTTGAATATGTAGTCCATGGTCAAAAGCACTTGCCCGGGCGGCGGTGCCTCGCGTAGCCCCCGGGGGCGGGGGCACAGGGTGACCCTCAGCCTTTTGAGCCTCTGTTGAGTTCTCTGACGCGTGGCCGGCTCTGAGCCTCCGGAGGGAAAACGTTCCCCGCGCGGCGCGGGCGGGAGGCAGGCAGGGGCGTTGCCTCTGCAGTCACGCACAGACCCAGGGCACGGGGCTTTCACCCCTATGCAAACTCCTTTTATTTTTCATAAAACTCCTCCAACTCTGCTGGTTTTCAGAAGTGCGAGGGGCGGGAAGGATGCTCAGGCAGCCGTGGGTGCTGGTGCTTGGGTGGGAGGTAGGGCACTGGGCTCCGAGTCCCAGTTTGCCACCCGAATTTAGGTAAGTTGCTTTATTTTTTTCCCCTCCTCCCAGCCAAGCAAAAGCAGCAGCGTCCTTTCCTCGGTGGCTTTTTGAGGCTTGGCATCAGTAGAGCGCGTGCAGGCTCCTCAGGCGCGGGAGCGTCCTCGCGGTCCTGCGGCGGCGGCTGCTGCCATCACCTCCACCTCGACCGTGCCACCCATCTCGCCGTCACCCGGGGCCGGGCGGTAGCGAGTGCCCGTTCCTCTCCCCTGGAGCAGGAGGCTTTGCAGAGCCAGGTTGTTTATCCCGTGCCGGTGGTTATTGCCGCAGCTGGGGCTCTTGGCAAGCGTTCATGCCGAATTTATAAACCCGCTGAGCGGTCACGGCAGCTATAAACCACGCCAGGTACCAGCTATCGGTGCTGATGCCGAAATCCTCGCGGCAGGCAGCTGAGCGGACGGGACGGGGGAGCAGCTCTGCTCCGCGCCGCTGAGTCGCTCCCAGCGGGTCAGGTGGGGCTCGCTCCCCTGGCCGCGGGCAGCAGGAAGGGGGGGCGGCCGCGGTTTTGCTGTATAAAGCTCTGAAATGATGAATTGTGGCGGTCTGAGCGGAGGAGAGGTGGGACGTCGGGTAAAGGCAGAACAGCGGCAAACGCCTCGGCAGCTGAGGCTGGAAAGCATGGAAACCCCCCCCCCCGGGTTTTGAGATGTTTAAACCTCCCCCAGGCAAAACCAGCTGGGGCGATGGCTGTGCGGAGCTGGACCAGCCTCGCCCCTTCGCTGCGTCGCGACGCCTCCAGCACCGCTCCGAAGCCGTCGGCCGAAGCTGGGTCCCCCTCTGCTGCTGGTCCTGGAGCCGGGAACGGATCTGTGTCGTCGTCCCTGGGAAGCGGCTTGAACCCACGCAGGCAGAAGGATGCTCCTGGAGTGTGTCTTAGCAAAACAGAAACACAAAGCCCTGCCTAGTTTAAGAGCAGGATTTTCTTTTTTTCCAAAGTGCTGCCAGCGAAATGTTCTGCTGTAGCAGAAAGCAAAGGGTGGAAAGTGAATATTTGTGTTGGCTGAGAGCAGCAGAAGGCTCCGGCGGGAGAGGGGGGAGCATCTCCTGTCCTCCACTTGGCCTCAGCACTGTGGTGTTAACGAGCTGGGGCTATGGCCGCTCTCCGCAGCCTGGTTTTGGCGTGGCCGGCTCTTCGGGCAGGCTGGGGACGGTGTTTCCGGCGATGGCTCGGGCCTGGGACAGCCCCAGTTCAGCTGATGCCGTTTTCCGAAGCTGCTTCTCCATAACAGGATGTGAAACTTCCCGTGCTGAGTCCCCTGATAACGCCCAAGACCGGAGCGGCACTCGGTGGGATCCCCTTGGAGCAGATGGGGATGGGATGGGGATGGGAATGGGGTGGGATGGGGATGGGGTGGGATGTGAATGGGGTGGGGGGGGATGGGATGGGGAGAACACTCCCCAGCTGCGTGTTTCTGGCTGGAGGAGCCAACACCTGAAGGTTTTCAACGGGAGTGTGAACATCAGAGGTGCAGAGTGGGTCACGGAGGTAGCAGGGTGCTCCCGGGGTCGGCACGGCTTCGCTCCGCTCTGTGAAATGGAGAAGATGCTGCAGGAGATGCTTTGGGATCCCTGGAGAAGGGGGAGTATAAAACCAGCCCATGCTTGTGATGCACAGATCGATACGGGGCTGAGCCAGGAGGCCATGGCTCGCGGTCTCCTCCGGCACGTGGGCACCTTGGGGCCAAGGCACCACCCCAGATTCCCACCCAGCGACGCTTTCATCGGATTATTCTGCCGAGACGAGCAAGGAACAGAGACCTCAGAGCGGGCAAGGGGCACGGCGCTGTTTTGGTGACAACATCATTGACTGCCTGCCAAAGCTGGAACCCTGCATGGGCCAGAGGGCAGGGGGTCCTCAGGGGCAGGGGGTCCTCAGGGGCAGGGACATCGCAGCTGTCGGGGTCCGCTGAAGAGGCGTCGGGAGGAGCAGAGCCGGCGTGGGAAGGAGCAGAGCCGGCGTGGGAAGGAGCAGAGCCTCCCTCGCGTGTCGTTAGGGCTTTTTGCAGAAATTGGGTTAAAAGCAGCTGAGCAAAATGGTCCCGGAGGTCGAGGAAGCGTTGGGGTGCAGGGTGGGCTGGGTGGCAGGAGCCGAGGCAGAGCAGGGCCTGGCCGGGACCGGGTGCTTTCCAACCCGCGGGGGCACCGAGCACCCGCTGGGGCAGGGTTTCACCCTCTGCGGGGCAGGCGAGGGCGCTGCCGCCGGCTTAGATGCGGCGCAGATGCTCCCTCCCGTCCCGAGGACGCCTCTGCCGCGCTCGCCAGCAAGGCGGGCAGGAGAGCGGAGTGGAGGAAAGCACAGGAAGGATTTTTGGAAGGATTTTTGACGTGGACTACAGATACAAACGATTTCCCACCCGCCCTTTCCCAAAGGGAACCACCAGACTGAGCCTTCTCCTCTTTTCTACCATCCCTTTATTTTGCTGTGCAGCCGTTCCCGGCTCTCCGACGTTTTTCTTTGCTTCCTTTTCTCACGCTCCGTAGCTTTTTGCATGTGCATTTCCAGCATGATTGTCCAGTGAGCACTTTGCAAGTTTAATTCTGCATCTTAAATGGCAAAATCAGCCGCGATCATTCGTTGTTCTGATTTCAAAGCTTGAAAAAGTCGAGCAGGGAGCTCGGCTTGGGGTGCGGGGGGGCTCCTGGGGCCAAGGGGCTTCCTGAATCACAGTTTGATCTTTGCAAAATGGACGGATTGAGCCGCGATCGAGGCTGTGGGGTGAGGATACAAGAAAAAGCCAGCGCTGAGCTGGGGACGAGGCCGATTCGCGCTCCCTCTGCTGGCTGCAGGCTCCTGGCTGCTGCCGCCCTGGGGATCCGGGGGCTTCTGGTGGGGATGTCTCCGGAGTTTCGGGGAGGAGGATTCCTGGCCAGTGGGAGGGAAGAAGTGCGTTGATCCTGCCCTGTGTCCGGATGATGAGCCCGGCTCTCTGGAGCATCACCCGAGAGCGGGGAAGAGGGCGGGATGGGAAGAAGCTCCATACCTGGAGTTCATCCCCGTGCTTTTAGAATGCGGGCCCCGACTGCAAAACTGCCCGTGCCTTACCACCACCCTGCTGCTTTGTAACGCTCTCCCTCCACCCTCCTTCCCCAACCCTTTCCTAGCCTGTCAGACTTGCTCCCGAGAGAGAATTCATCAAATCCCTGATCGCCATCGGGAAGCGCCTGGCCACCTTGCCGACCAAAGAGCAGAAGACCCAACGGCTCATTTCGGAGCTGTCGCTGCAAAAGCTGCCGCGGCGCGCCTGCCTCCCGGCGGCTGGCTTCGACCATCACGTGGTGCGGGTGCCCCACACCCAGGCAGTCGTCCTCAACTCCAAGGACAAGGTACGAGCGGCCGGAGGACAGTTTTGCCTTGAAAGGCAGATTTTTGTCCTTGGCACGGCCCCTGTTTGGACACGGAGCAAAAGAAATGCTTTGCGCACGTGCCCAGGGCATCTCCTGGGTCCCCAGGGCTGCGTTATCACTTCCAGGGCTGGGAGCAATGGGGAGAGGGATCTGTGCGAGGCACCCGGGACGGGGAGAAAAGAAGCAGCGTGCACCCTGTGAGAGCAGAGCGCATCGGGCTGCCTCCTGTAGCTGCCCCCGCTGACGCTTGGTGTTGCTTCCCCCAGGCTCCCTATTTAATCTACGTTGAAGTACTTGAATGTGACAATTTCGACACAGCGAATGTGCCCGCTCGGATCCCCGAGAACCGCATCCGGAGCACCCGCTCGGCTGAGAACCTCCCCGAGTGCGGGATCACGCACGAGCAGAGGACCAGCAGCTTCACCACCGTCCCCAACTACGACAACGACGATGAGGCTTGGTCCGTGGACGATATCGTGGAGCTGCAGGTGGAGGTGAGGCCGGGGGTGCCAGGCAGGGTTTGTGTTGCCGGGGTCCGGCGCAGGATGGGAAGGATGGGTGCCATCCCAGGTCCTGCCCAGGAAGGAGCATCCCTTTGGGGTAGCAGACGAGCGTTTTGGTCCATCCCGCCTCTTGCACCTTTCCCCTCCCAGCTGCCGGAGATTCACACCAACAGCTGTGACAACATCTCCCAGTTCTCTGTGGACAGCATCACCAGCCAGGAGAGCAGGGAGCCCGTGTTCATCGCTGCCGGAGATATCAGGTGAGGTGGCGTGGCGAGAGCAGCCCGGGCGCTGGCTTTGCGAGGGTGGGCTGTGAGTCTGGATGTAAAGGGGCTGGGGGCAAAATGTCTCCGCCAGATTCCCAGAGGGAAAAAAAACAAACATCTGCAGAGGTTAAGGAGGGGCTGTGCAAACTCTGGGCAGTGGTGGCTTAGGAGAGCCCTGAGGTGCGTAAGAGACGCTCGGGGCTGGTGCAGCCTCCCTGCTGGCTTCCTCCCTGCTGGCCAAGCGGTGGATGTGGCCCTGGTTTGGGGTTTGGGGTGAATCCATGAGCTTTGTGAAGTGCTTTGGATCGAAGAATCATAGAATCATGGAATGGTTTGGGTGGGAAGGGACCCCCAGAGGTCACCCAGCCCAACCCCCCTGCAGGAGCAGGGACACCTTGAACCACATCAGGTTGCTCACAGCCCTGGCCAACCTGGCCTGGAATGGTCCCAGGGATGGGGCCTCCACCCCCTCTCGGGGCAACCCCTGCCAGGGTTTCATCACCCTCACTGGAAAGAATTGCTTCCTTAGATTCAGCCTAAATCTAAATCGTAGAATCACAGAATTGTTTGGATTGGAAAAGACCTTTAAGATCATCAAGTCCAACCGTTACCCCGGCACTGCCATTCAAGAGGCTCTGGGTGCGCGTGGTGATGGCACTTTCTCCCTCAACAACCGGTTTCGCTGCTTAACGGCTGCGTCTTGCAGGCGGCGGCTCTCGGAGCAGCTGGCGCACACCCCCACCTCCTTCAGGAGGGACCCCGAGGACCCGTCCGCTGTCGCCCTGAAGGAGCCCTGGCAGGAGAAAGTCAGGTAGGGCTGGATGGCGTGCGCTGGGTTGGGTCTCGGCGCTGCAGGGACTTTGTACATCCCAGAAATCCAAGGCAGTCACTCCCCGATTTGCCCAGTAAATAACCGTGGCCTTGACCTTAGGCCCTGCTCGTCCCCGGGGCGGGTGTGCTGACCCGGGACACGGGGAGGTGGAGGGCAGCGAGCGCTGGGTGTGCCGGGGAGGGAGAAAATCCACGGCAGATTTGCTGCTCTTGGGTGAGGCTTTGAGGGGCTTTACCAGGTATTTATAGGCGCCCTTTACGTCAGAAGAGTTCGGCCTGTCCCAGAATAAACTCATTCGTGTTCCTGCTCTCAGAGTGGGACGTCCAGCCCCCAAATTTCTCCTTGAGCAAGAGGGAGAGCCCTCTGGGCTCTATAAATTTGGGGGTAGTCTTGTCCATGTTGTTCTGATGGAGGGGCCTGAGCGTTCGGGGAGCATTAATTCCCTTCCGCTGTTCTCAGCGGCAGCTTGTGGCTCGGGTGAGGTTTGCGCCGTGGTTTGGTGAGGGCTCAGTGTGCGGATTCTTGTAGTCCCGGGCCCTGGAGCCTCTTCTGCCGTAGTCCCAGCTGAGCAATTCCAGAGGCTTTCCTTGCCCGGAGCCCCTGATTGGAGACCTCCGGGCTGACTCGCTGCCCGTCCTCCCTTTCCTCGTGCTCCCATCCTTGCCTGTTCCCTGCAGGAGGATCCGGGAAGGGTCCCCCTACGGCCACCTGCCCTCCTGGCGCCTCCTCTCCGTCATCGTCAAGTGCGGGGACGACCTCCGGCAGGAGCTGCTCGCCTTCCAGGTCCTCAAGCAGCTGCAGGTGAGACAGGAGAGGGGCTGCCCACGGGGGCGGCGGCGGCGTGGGGCCGCCCGGGATCCTGAGGGATTTTCTCGCTCTCTCCCACAGTCCATCTGGGAACAGGAGCGTGTCCCGCTCTGGATCAAGCCATACAAAATCCTCGTCATCTCCGCCGACAGCGGCATGATTGAGCCAGTCGTGAATGCTGTGTCCATCCACCAAATCAAGAAGCAATCCCTGCTTTCGCTGCTGGATTATTTCCTGCAAGAACATGGCAATTACAATACCGAATCCTTCCTGACGGCCCAGAGGAATTTCGTGCAGAGCTGTGCCGGTTACTGCCTGGTGTGCTACCTACTGCAGGTCAAGGACAGGTGGGTCCCCACGCCGCAGCTCTGGCCTCTGCCGGGATTTGTCATTTTGTCCCCAGGCACACCAGGGAAATCCTGGGAGCACAGCGCACGCTTGCTAAGTTTAACGGAAAGTTTCTTCTCTCCCGCACAGGCACAACGGCAACATCTTGCTGGATGCGGATGGACACATAATCCACATCGATTTTGGGTTCATCCTCTCCAGTTCCCCCAGGAATCTTGGCTTTGAGACGTCTGCCTTCAAACTCACCACGGAATTTGTGGATGTGAGTGAGCGGGGGACGCGACGGCGAGGGGCGATCTCAGGCAGGGGGTGGCGCAGTCAAACCGTGGCAGCTGGGCTGACCCCCGTGGCGGTTCCTGGCCAGCTCTGCAACCGCAGCCGAGCTGCTCTGGGGACCCAGCTGATGAGCTGGAAGCTGGAGGGGCTCTGTTTGCAGTGTGGGTTCACTCCGAGAAGTGAAATTCCCTAAAACAATCCCATCCTGCCCCGCCTGCTGACAGCCCCTCTGCTCAGGGCACGCTGCTGTCCTCAAGTTTCTCTGTCGGCTGTGGGCCACCCACACCTCCTCTCCCTTCCAGGTGATGGGCGGGCTGGACGGGGACATGTTCAACTACTACAAGATGCTGATGCTGCAGGGTCTCATCGCTGCCCGGAAGCACATGGATAAAGTCGTGCAGATCGTGGAGATCATGCAGCAAGGTAAGGGGAGCCGCAGGCCGCAGAGCCGGGTCTTGCCCCCGAGGCACCATGCATGGGTCCAGGCTGCCCAGAGCCTCTCCCAGAAAGGGCTTGGTGGTCCCCGGCGGTGTCCCCTGCGGTGGCCGTGTCCCCTGCAGCGCCGGTGTCCCCCGCGGCAGCGGGTCCCGAATAACCCCGACACCGCCCCCCCCCTGCAGGGTCGCCGCTCCCCTGTTTCCACGGCTCGTCCACCATCCGGAACCTGAAGGAGCGGTTCCACATGAACATGACGGAGGAGCAGCTGCAGCTCCTCATCGAGCAGATGGTGGACGGCAGCATGCGCTCCATCACCACCAAGCTCTACGATGGCTTCCAGTACCTCACCAACGGCATCATGTGACGGCCGCGGGCCTCCCTCTCCCAGAACGGCGCCGTGCCCGGCCCAGGCCTGAGCTTTGCCCCCGGGGACGAGGTCTCGGGCCTCGATGGTAAAAAGGAAGCCGAGTCTCAGCACCTTCCCGGGGCTGCTTTGGCCAAGACTCCTCAGCAAAATGAAAAGGAAAAAAAAAAAAACAACCCCCAAGCAGTCGAAGCAATTTACTCCTTGCGCTTTGAAGGAGCTATTGATGTTACTGAAAAATGTAACAGCTAAACTATTCAAGATAGCATATGATTTCTCGTTTAAAACTGCCCTAGTACCAGTGGTTAACATAATCACTATCTTTAAGTAGACGAGAGAACTATAGACCAGTAAGCTTGATAATTATACTGAATAAAGTGGTGCTAAGTCTAAAGCAGTTAGGGAATAAGTGAGTAAATATGATATAGTGCGTAAGAGTCACCAGGGCATTTGTGAAATAGTTATACTTCACAAATCTAATACAGCTTTTTAGGTGAAAAAATGTCCAGAAGAAAAAGTTGGTTGGCAGCCTACCGAGTTTCAAAAAGGCATTCCCCAAAGCCTCTTAAAGAAATTAAGCCACACTGCTATAAGACCTAATGTCCTTCCATGAATAAATCACTGGTGAAAAGACAGGAAATAATGGTGGGCCTTGATAGTCAGCTTTTGCAGTGGATGGAGTACCCAAAAGAGTTCCATGGGAAGCTGTTCTGGGACCTGTGCTTTTCAATATATTAGGGAAGCAGATGTCCACAGATGCTACTCAGAATAGAAAAGATGAGGGTCAACTGCAGAAACATGCACAACTTCTCTATTGGGAGTGGCTGGGAGGTGAAACAGGAGATAAAATTTAGTGTACGTAAGCATAAAGTGTGACAAAAAAGTAAACATGCTTCTAAATTTACACATGCATCAGCCTCTGAGCTGGCTATTATCACTCAGATAACCCCAAAATGCTACGTTAGTGTAGACACACACAACTAAGTGAACTCAGTGCTCAGCTGCAGACAAACAGGCAGACTATCAGGAATTGTCAGGAAAGAAACAGAGAACAAAACAAAACCCTCCATTAAACCACTCTACAATTGCATGCTGTACCAAACTCTTTAGTTGCTTCCTGATCCCAAATCAAATATAGTTCAAACTGGAAAAAGTACAGAATGTTACTGAATATCTCCTGTTCGAGGAACAAGTAAATAAAATAGTGTTCTTCAGACTAGAGAAGAGACAGCTGAGAGGGGCTGTGCTCTCTTTGCAGCACTCAAGTCACACAAAAAGGAAGCAGTTGTTCCCCATGTCTTCTACTGGGACACCTTGGTGAAATCACATGGAAACAGATGGCAAATGACAAATTCAACTTTAACAAAAGGAGACTGTTCTTCACATTCCAGGTAATCAAGCTGTAGATCTCTTTGCAATAGGCTCTTCTGAATGTTAAACACATGAGCATATAAAAGACTGGGCACCATTTTAGAAGGAAAGTGCATCCAGACCCACTGGGGTGGAGGGGGCACACAGCCCTTTCCACCCCCATTTTGGGTCAGGACCAACACCCTTGGGGTCGGGGGGGGCACAGGTAAGGCCGTGTAAGCAAGACAGGGCACAGCAGGGGTTAAACCACTAAAAGTTTAATTAATTGCGTTATTACTACAAGAATAAAGGATACCTGAGAGCCGCCGCAGTGCCCGGAGTTTTCCTGTAGCAGAATCCCAACCCCCAACCCCAGGTGTGCAGGCGCCCCCCCCCGCCCGCCCAGCCCTCGCTCTAAAGGCACTGAAGTGCTTGAACCCCGAGATTACAAAGCAATTTGTTTCGTTTCCTTCCTCTAAAACTCGTAGAAACTTTAGGTTCTTCTCTAGTATTAAACAGCATTTACAGGGTCACAGCCCCACGCGCTACA